CGACTGTCACATATTGATGGTCAGCAGACATCTGCAGCTTGTTCTAACAATTGTGGTGCCTGGAATATCAGTTCCGGGTAAACAAAGAGTTGAGTAGTTTACTCTGGGACTCTAGGTCTGTTATAGATCCCTATCTAGTGTCCCTAAACTAACAAGCATCTCTGTCCATTAACTCACATTTTAATCACAATGGGGCTGGAGAAAAAGGAACAAAGGTTATGCAGTCCCACACCAGCATTATACTTTCCAGATTAAACTACCTCTGAAAAAGAAAGTTCCACTTCATTGGCATGAGGCTTTGGTATATGTGCTGCTGAAGTGAGCACTGGCATGAGGCTTTGGGGGGCACAGCTAAACACAAACCATAACACTCTGCCCCTGGCTCCCCAAAGACTCATGCATATCCCTTTATGCAAAAAAGCATTTAGTCCATTTTTAAGAGTTGCCAAAGTCCTAATAGTTTCAGCATTGCTGAAAAGTCCAAGTCCAAAGTCTCCTCTGAGATTTAAGGCAAACTCTTAGTTCCAAGCCCCTGTACAAATGAAAAGAAAGTCAAACATTTCCATCATTCAATGGCACAAGATAGACATTACCATTCCAAAAGGTACAAATAGGAGGATACAAAGGAATGGGACCAAAGTAAGTCCAAAATCCAGTAGGGCAAACATTAAGTCCCACAGTTCCACTTCTAGCATCTGAGACAATCTGTAGCAAGTTGTGAATTCCAAATGGGTTGGGTGGCTCCACCCCTGTGGCACTGAGGGTTGTTATAGCTCTCCTGGCTTCTCTCCTGGGCTGGCTCTGCTCCCTCCTTGCAGTTTTCCTCAAACGATTCACACTCCTGGGTTCTTCAAATGTCTGTGATCTCCATTGCACCTTTGGCTTCACACTCACAGATTCATACACTGCCCTCTCAGGAGCACACTTCCTGGCCTCCCAGGCCTTCTTCGGAAATCTGGGTGGAAGGCTCCCTGAACCTACAACTCTTCCATTCTGCATGGACCTAAAACCAGCACCATGTGGATGATACCAAGGTCTGCTGCCAGCTGGAGCAGTAGCCAGGCTTCTTTCTCTCTTGGCTTTAAGGGTTGAGTGCCTGGATCACTGAGCACTCTGAACCCAATCCTGAGAAACAAATTCCCTTGGCTGCCACTTTGGAACAACTTTCCTAGGTCGCTGCCATTCTGAAACATGGTGCTCTGGGGCTTTCTTTTCAAAGCAAAATCTTTCACCTTTACAATTCTGAGACTGCGAAGGGTGGAGTCCTTCTGCTTCCTGTGAGGTCCTCAAGCCATCTTTTCTAGTCTCCTGTTCCTTATCAGCAATCAAGATCTCCTCTGCTCTACCTTTGCAGACCACAGCTATACTGGAACTTCCTTTCTTGCCAAACTCAAAACATTTTAGATCATTAGCATGGCTCTTCAATCTTGATTCTCAACATAGATCTGGCTAAAAGCCCCCAACAGTAGCCATACTACTGCCTCAATATTTGACTGCCTTGAAATTTCTTCTGCAAGATTAATTAGTGCACTGCCCCTAATCTCAGTCTCAGGCAAAGTCTCTGGACACAAACAAAATGCAGACAAACTTTTTGCCAAGCCATAACACACATTGTCTGTGTAAGACCGAGGGCCTTACCAAACGCTCTGAGGAGCTGACTAGTGAAGCACACCCAGGAATCCCAGCGGTGTCTTCAGAATGTAAGACCAAGAGCCTTACCAAATGCTCCGAGGAGCTGACTACAGCGAAGAACACCCGGGAAGGAACACACCGGCCAAGTTGGGAAACAGACCTTTATTAGTCTGGCCAGACGGCACTCCCGAAGCAAAATAGCTTAGAGAGGCAACTGGCTCAGAATCCGAGGCTGTTTTTATAGGGGGGGGGGTTGAGGGGGAAGTTAACATATCAAAGAAAAGGGGACAAAGGTTAGTGGTCGACTGTCACATATTGATGGTCAGCAGACATCTGCAGCTTGTTCTAACAATTGTGGTGCCTGGAATATCAGTTCTGGATAAACAAAGAGTTGAGTAGTTTACTCTGGGACCCTAGGTCGGTTACAGATCCCTATCTAGCATCTCTAGACTAACAAACATCTCCATCCATTAACTCACATTTTAATCACAATGGGGCTGGAGAAAAAGGGGCAAAGGTTATTCAGTCCCACAGTCTGGAGTCCAACAGCCAATACAGTCCTTCCCAACAGAAACCTCCAGAGCCTGGTCTTTACCGGCCTTCTGGTCTTCACCTGCCTTCTGGTCTTCTGAGCCCTGACCAGAATCTTCCATACAAAACAGCCTAAGGCGTTCCAGTGCTGCCTCTGTAGCCAACATCTCCTGATCTTTCCTAACTCTTCCCCTTCCCACAAGCCAGTTCCAAAGGCTTTTGAGCCACATGGCCAAGTAATGTTACAGCAATGACCCCACTTTTCTGGTACCAAATTTCTGTGTTTGTTACTTTATTCTCATTGCTGAGACAAAATACCCGAGACCCAAAGTTAGAGGGGAAGGGGTTTATTTGGCTTACAGTTCGTAGAGGTTTCAGTCCATGATTGGCATTGCAGAACAGAAACAACATGGTGCATACAAGGCAGAAAGGGTAACAAAAAAAAGCTCCACTTGTTTTTCCCACTGGAGAAAAGACATCAAAATCCTGGATGGGGAAATTACAACAGCTCACCGCACGTGCTCCCTAAGTTACAGTGCCGGGGCATTCTCCCCAAATACGCTCAAGCGGTGTTAGTAGGAACTCCTACCATGGAGCCCCACACCATGGTCGCAGAAAGGAGCTGCTTACAGAACCAGGGGAAAAGACAAAAGGTCACTGTTTCGGGCTCTAACAGGAAGAGGAGAGAAGTCCTGGGGCCACACGCTGGCCTCGGTGGCCCTCGTAGCTCCCAGGGATCGGTGGACAGCACGCCCAGCCCCCCTTGTCCCCGTACTCACTCCACTCTGGGGCCCCGGGTCTCCCAATCAGGGAACAAAACCCTGGCGGCTGCGGTGACTTCCCCACCCCGGCGCTGGATGCGCCGCTAATCCGCTCACAAAGCGCCCGCTGCCGTCCCATTGTCTATGCCCAGGCACAGGGGGCCAGCGGCGGGCCGGCTCTGGAACGTGCCAAGCGCAGGGGGCCGAGGGGTTATATACAGGAGGCCACGGCCGGGCCGCCGCCCTCACGGAGTCATGTACCACCGCAGCTACGTGTTCCAGGCCCGCCGGGAGCGCTACGAGCGCTCCGCGGAGCCCGAGCGGGATGCGATCGCCGGGCCCCCTAGCCCCGCGCCGCTGCAGGGCCTGGGGGAGCGCGTGGCCGCCCACGTGCAGCGCGCTCGGGCGCTAGAGCAGCGCCACGCGGGGCTGCGCGGGCAGCTCGACACCTTCAGGCGCCTGGGCGAACTGGCGGGGCCCGAGGACGCCCTAGCGCGACACGCCGAGTCCAACCGGAGGCGCGCGGGGGACCTGGCGGCCGAGCGCACCCAGCTGCTGCGCCAGAGCGTGGAGGCACAGCGCGCGCTCGACGAGTTCAGGACCAAGTAAGCGGCGCGGAGGGAAACCGAGGCACAGCCGAAGGGACGCACAGCAGAAGGGACCCACAGCAGAAGGGACGCATGATGTGATCCCAGCATGCCAGGAGTTGGAGGCAGGAGGATCTTGAATGCAAGCCCAGCCCTGTCTCAAAAAAAGTGGGGAGGCTGGGGAATGTAGGTCAAGGGGAAGGCCCTGGGTTCAGTCCCAGTATTGGGGGTGGGGGGAAAGTAAGGCAAGCTTTCATTTTGATGGCTTTTCACAGTGAACATGAAATGGTCTCATTCGCGTCTCATGTATTTTAAAATTCAGGTAAAAATTTACAGTGCACAGATTGTAAACTCATAGTTTGGTGATTCTGGACGGATGCATCTATCCCGTGTAGCCACCCAGGAGTATTTCCGCTCTCCTCTTGCCAGTCCTTGTTCCCAAGCCCAAAGTTTTCTCATTTCTGTCACCGCAGATTAATTTTGCCTGTTCTACAATTTTGCAGGACTATCTACTCTTTTATGCGGGCCTTCTTTTAGCACAATGATTTTGCGGTGTAGCACTGTTATTTAATGCTTTCAGCTTTATCCTTACGGTGTCATTTTACAGAATGGAATTGAGGGTTTTTTGGGGGGTGGGGGACACCAGGGATTGGGCTTAAGACTTTTGTCCTGAGCTGCATGCTCAGCTGTTTTTAACTTTTTAAAAAAATCTTGAAACAGGGTCTTGCTAAATCACTGAGTTTTCCAGGCTGGGATTGAGCTTGTGATTCTCCTGCCTCAGCCTCCCAAAGTGCTGGGATTACAGGCGTGTGGGACCATCCCCGCCTGATACTGAGGTTTAGTCACATAGGGATTTGGGGCCAGGTCACCCAGCTGGGGAACTGCTGCACAGGAACTGGAACTCAGGGCTTGGGCAGCCACAGCTATTTGAACGGCCCTGGCTGGTGGCATTAGCCAGCAGGGAGCTTGCTCCTGGGCAGCACCCATGTCCCAGGCTGCAGCGTAAAAGAGCAGGAGGGATGCTGAGGAAGAGACAAAGAGCATCTATCCTGTCGCTAACCAGAAATACTTGGAAGCTGTCCCTTAGACTTCTGCCTCCCTCGTATTGGCCAGGATTTAGTCACATGGCCATGCTTGGCTGCAAGGATTGCTGGGAAATGTAGTTTTTCTTCTAGACAGTTGTGGGCCAGCCAGACTTCAAGGGTTGTAACTCCTAGGTGAAGGTAAGAATGGATATCAGGATGTGAGAAACTGAAAATGTAAATAAGGACTAAAAGGTATAATAGATAATATGAAATAGGAAGAAAAGGGGCAAAGGGGAAGGGGAAGTGGGAGGAGTAGGGGAAAGGAAAGAAGGGAATGGAATTAATATGAGAAAATGAAAAAAGGAAACAAAGTCTTTGTAAATAGGGAGGGATGGAGGGGTTGAAGGGAGGGGAAGGGAAGGAGGAAAATAAGAACAAAGAGAGATTATGCAAAAGTGCAAATTTCCCAAGATGAATGCCTTTATATTGTATACCTAAAATGTACCAATAAAATAAAATTAAAAAAAAAAGAATGGATATCAGGAGACATGTGACAGGGAACAGAGAAAAGGTCATTTGGGAAGGAATCTTCTCTTTTCATGGGTAAAATTTTGCCAGGGGGAAGCCTTTGCTGACCAGAATGATTTCTGCTGTCTGAATACCTTTTTTTTTTAAAAAAATTTTATTTTATTGGTACATTTTAGGTATACAGTATAATGACATTCATCATTGGAAATTTGTACCTTTACATAATCTCTCTTGGTTCTTATTTTTTTCCCCTTTCTGAATACCTATCATTTTATGGAAGTCTGGAAAGAAACTGACTAGGAGAAAAAACACACCTGCTCCTAGAATCTGTTGCTTGATTTATTGTGTGGATGTTCAAGTGTGGCCCTGGCCCAGTGGCATCAGTCAGCAAGGAGCTTCTGTGCTCTACCCAGGTGTGGGTGCTTGAGTCCTTTCTTGTTTGGAGGCCTCTAGAAGCCAAGCAGGAGATGGGGATTCTGGCACCAGTTGTTATTTGGGAGGTGACCCAGGGGCCCTGGTAGCACGGGAGAGCTGGGAGGATGGGGGAGGTGGCCAGTGGCAGTCACCTTTTCAAGCGCATTACTGTCTAGGCGCTTGGAGCTCTGCCTGCTGGTGTGGTCTGTGCCTCAGTTGTTTCTGCTGAGCCTGAGGGAGCTAGGGTATGTATGCAGCCACGGGTCTCCATCAGAGTTGAGGGCACTGACTGCACACAGCCTGGAGGAGGACTTTGTTGGGCAGAAACAGGGCAAAGTGCTGGCTGCATTGGTGTCCTCATCTTCCCATGGGCATAGTAGTAGCTGCTCTCTTTCAGTTGTTGTGAGGAGTAAGTGACATAATCTGGAAACATGGCCGCCCACACCTGCTGCTGCATACTATAGGCAGTAACGGGCCAGGGCAATGGTGTTGCTGCAGCCTGTGCCTGGTGGCCTTGTAAGTGGTGCTGAGCTGTGTTTTTGTTGCACTTGTGCCAAAGTAAAACCCTTCCAACTTGGGCCGGCTGGGTGGGAGGTAGTTGGGGGGCTGTTAGGGCGAGTCTCATCTTATTTACCTTTTCTAGTTGTCCCTCACAGTGTGCAAATGTCACCACTTTCTCATGGACCATGGTGTGTGAAGGACTGGGAAGCAGTGGGCAAGTTCTCTCCTCACCCTTCGTACAAAAGCTTTGTTTCCATTTTTTCTTTCTCCTTTCATTTTCTTTCTTGTCCCTTCCTTCCTTTCTCCCTTCCTCCTCCCTTGTTCCCCTTCCCATTTGAACATTTTCCTCCCATTTCCCAACATCCATTATACATTTCAGTCCTTATTTCCACTTTTGGTTTCTCACACTAGAGAAACAATGTATTTAAACACATGTGTCTAATTTATTTCACTTAGGAGTATAGTCTCAAGGCCCATACATTTAGCTATAAATGTCTAAGATCATCCTTTATGGCAGAGTAGTACTCCATTGTATAAAAACCCCACATCTTCTTTATCCATTTGTTAGTTATGGGCACTTGGGCTGTTTCCAAGATTTATCTATTACAAACTGTGCTGCTGTAAACATGGGTGTGCATATATCACTATGGTATGATGCTTTATTTTGGGACTGGGGATAGAACTCGGGACCTTGAGCTTGCGAGGCAGGCCCCAGAACCACTGAGCTAAATCCCTGGCTGATGCTTTTAATTCTTTTGGGAAGATACCAAAAAGAGGTATAGCTGGGTCAAATGGAACCTCTAGTTTTAGTTTTTTGAGAAATCACCACACTGATGTCCATAATGATTGTACCAGTCTACACTCTCACCAACACTGGAGAAGGGTTCCTTTTTCCCACAGCCCCTACAGCATTTGTTTTTTTTGTTTTTTTAGTTTTGGTGCCGGGGATTGAACTCGGGTCATTGCGCTTGTGCAGCAGGCGGCGAAACCACTGAGCTAAATCCCGGCCCCCTTATAGCATTTGTTGTTGGTTGATTTCTTGATAGCAGTTATTCTTTCTGGAGTGAGATGGAATCTCAGTGTTTTCATTTGCATTTCACGAATGATCAGTGACGTTGAACATTTTATCATGTATTTATTTGCTGTTCTAATTCTGCATCTGAGAAGTGTCTTTTCATTTCAGATGCCCATTTTTGGATTGGGTTTTTAAATTTGGGGGGGGTTCTGATTTTTTTGAGGTTTTTTTTTTTTTTTTAGCTACTTCTTTATAATTAGTCAACTTCTGAAAGGAGAGTGTGCAATGTTGTTTCAAAATGACCTTCATGCTGACTGTGTGATCCACACGTGGAATCATGGATGCTGCCGACTTTTGCTTTTGTGTCCACACACAGGTATGAAAACGAGTGTGAGTGTCAGCTGCTGCTGAAGGAAATGCTGGAGCGGCTAAACAAGGTGAGTTGTGCATGCCTTTGGGTTTTGGTAGTGTGATTACAGCCTTGACTAAATGCTGGAAGCAGTTATTTTTGTGTACTTTCTGTTTGTGTTATTACAGGAGTTCCCTGTTTCTTTTGCTGGCCTTCTCTTCCTGAGTGTCCTAATTTCACTCATGCTCATTTCTGCACCTTTCCATCATAGAATACTCAGTCTCCTGGGAGAAACATGGACCATGGAGCTTATCTGTTATGCCAGGTGTACTAGTCTGTTTTCCATTACTGTAATGAAATACCTGAGGCTGGCTAATTTGTAAAGAAAGAGACTTCCTTACCTTACATTTTTGGAGGTTGCAAGTCCAAACAGCGTGGTGCTACATCCAGTGAGGACCCCTGGCTCCATACCTCATGGTGGGTGACATCTTGGTGGGAGGCCATGAGGAAGACAGATCACATGGCAAGACCGGAAGCCAGGGCCAAGGAAAGGACTGGCAGTGACCTGCCACCAGCACCCACATCTTGGAGGTCCCCCCATCTCTTGATGTTCCTATCCTGGGGACTCAGTTTCCAACTCATGAACCCTTGGGGACCACTCAGATCACAGCACTAGGCTACCAATATGTGCCAGTGCCATAGTGACCAGCTGGCATCTTCTTATTCAGACACTGATCCCAGATAGCAAATTGAGGAAGGAACATGGTTTTGGGCAGTGGTTATTTGGACACAGATATTCTGCTGTTGGCTAAGAGTCTTGACATTATTGTTTCATAAAGACTCAAGATAACAGAGGAAGAACTTTCCATTTCCCATAAGCCCTTTTGTCAGAGTATGAAAAGTAGCCACACATGGGTGCAGGAATGAACAAGGGAAGCTCAGCTTCTCTCTGGAGCCCTTCCTGCAGGGCTGTGTGGAGCTTGCCTTCATGGGGCCAGTTTCCCTCTTCCACTTTTCCATTGTGAGCTTGATTCACTGGGGTTTTGGGGCAGCAGGGAGAACTCTGCTACTGACAACAGAATAATCTTGGATGAAAGGGTTGGACAAAGCCAGAAATGGCAAAGAGCCTTAGGCATTGTCCTTTCTGGTCTTTTCAAAGTGGAAGGGCCAGTGGAGATTGGGTTAAAGTGTTGCTCACTTAGAGCTCATGGGCCACCATCTCCCATCCCCTTCAGGCCTGTAACCTAGTTACAGTGCTGATAAAACACAAGGCTCTTCCCTCTGTGCCCAGATGAGCCTTAGGATTCTTCTCCACAAGAAACTCCATGCCAGACAGCCATGCTTAGCTCAGGGTGTTTGCTGTTCCTAGCTCTTCCCAGTTGGTGTTGTCAAGGCCTGTTATGCTCATTGGTGGAAAAACCAGGATTCGAGTCCAGGGAAACCACGTTTTGCTGAGTGAATGTCACCCTCCTCTGGTGCCCCTACTCCGTGTGAGCACATGAAGTGTTGTCCAGCCAGGATCCTGTGAGAGGGTTGTCATCAGTTTCTATGTCCTGGGACTTACTCAGGCCAAGTGGGACGCCATAGACGAAGATGGTGGTGAGATGCACTTTGGGAAGCCAAAGGACGCTGCTCCTTCTTTGGCCCATGGAGTGCCAGAGTGAAGGCTCTGTGCTCCTTGTTGTTGGAGTTGGGAGTGTCATATTTCCAGCATCTGGGATACCCAGGTGCTCTGCTAACATCTTTAGCTCATCCCATTCTTGGTTTGGGTGGTGATAGCAGGCTGCCAACTGGGGCACCATCTTGTCCGCAGGCCACCACTTTCAAGGACACCGGTACCTAACGCCCTTCATTTAGGTGCCAATTGAGGCCCTCAGGCCCCTCCTCAGCCCCACTATATGGTACTTAGTGAGTGTTTGTCCTCACTGCGAGCAGCCCTTTCTCTGGACTTCCTCCCAAGACTGCCCCTTTTGCAGTGCCATCTTGGGCACACCTCAAGGAAGAGGAAGAACGGAAACCTTTTATTTTTCTTTTTGGCAGGATCTTACTGTGTAGCCCAGGCTGACCTTGACCTCACTGTCCTCCTGCCTCAGTCTCCCAAGTGCTGTGATCACAGGCATGCACTACTGTGCCCAGTTTTGAAGTCCTTCTTTTTACCCTTGGTGCAGAGTGACAGTGGTTTTAAAAACCTCTTTATCTTTTTCTTACAATGACAGCAATACATAGTCTCAGTAGAAAAATAAGACAATATAGACAGTGAGAACTAAGGAAAAGGCGTCTCACCATTTACTAGCTCCAACACCTTTGTGTACAAGTATATTGTGATGTAGAGTGTGGGTGTTTGAAGTGTCTGCCTCACAAGAACATCAGGAAGGTTTTGGAAAAGGATGATGCCCAGAGCTCCGATGAGGACCAGCACAGGTTGGTGTGACCGCTCCCTCCTGCTCACAAGGAGCTGTGCTGTCCAGAAGAGGAGTGTAGTCTGCTAACACGGCCTTGCATGGCTGTCATGTCTCTCTGAGCCTTGTCTTCCTCGTCTGTGAAATGGGAACCATAATGGTCCCTACCACCATTAGCGTGGAAGGACATCTACAAGCCCAGTGCTCATTAAGTGACATAGTTCTGTACAAGTATGTACCTTGCCTGTGACAGGGTGGTGGGCAGCCTGTGGTCATAGGACACAGCCCTTGATGTGACAGGCACCACCAGCTAGTTTCTCCCAGAGGGTGCCATGCCCAATCCTGTTGGGAGGGGAGATGAGTTTAGAGGGTGCACAAGAGAATAATGTTTTTGATAGTCGTGAATTTTTATGATTACCTTTTATTTACAGCAAGTGATATAAAATATTTCTTTTCAAATAAATCTAAGTAAGAGGGATTCAATCTACAGAAAAACACAGAGAGGCTACTGGAACACCTGGTACTTGGATGCAGTGGAAATCGTGCCCAAGCATGCAGATGCCAGCCTTGGAAAGTCCTTGCTCTCATGGGGGAGCCCTGGAATGGCCTTTGGTTATTAGCAGGGCAGGTGCCATCCCTAGACACCACCCAGTCCAACCCCTTCCTTCTGCTAGTGAAGAAACTCACACTTGAGGTTCAAAGACATCAGAGTCCCACAGCCCTCACACGGCGAGTGTAGACAGGCTACACTTGTTGTTTCGGGCTCCTCCTCTCACTCCTAGGAATAGTCATGGAATCTGCAGCCTTCAGAAGCCAGATGCAGAGCTAGGTGCTGTAGGTTAAAGATGCCCCTTGTTCTTGACATTGGTCCCCATCCACTGTCACCTAGACATACTGGACACGCTGATGGCTTCCTGTGTCTCCCCAGCTCTGGGAACCTGTACAACCATGTGAGGCACAGTCCTGGGCGTTGACACCAGGGGCCGAACCTCAGCCACTGAGGGGCTGGGTGGGTGGATGACTCCCCAGGTGTCCTGGCTCCCAGTGACAGTGCAGCTGAGAGGCCCACAGAGCCCCTCAGAGGATCCCCACACTGAGCCCTGCTGTCACAAGGTAACCTGCTCAGGCACATGCCCTCATGGGCTTTTTTCCTTTCCCTGCCTTTCTTCACATTCCCAGCTTCTCAATGTAGCAAGACTTTCAGCTGACTCTAGAGCTTGTTGTTGCTAAACGAAGACACAGGAGCTTATTGGTCCCTAATGAGCCCCGAGTTTGCTTATCTTAAGGAAACTTAGGAGCAGACTTCAGAGTTTCTCTCTTTTTTTCTTTAAAACCTCTAGAATTTTAGGGATGAAAATTCAAGTCAAATGCTTCCACTTAAAAATGACTTACACATTTAAAGGCTGGCACAAGTGCTTCTCCCACAGTTTGTGCATCTATGGGAAAGAGCAAGGGACCAAGGAGGGCAGAATGTGAACGGTGGGACACGAAGCCCCACTGTCAGGGCTGGCAGCTTCCTGGTCCCAGAGGTCTTGAGGCTGGAAATGAACTTCCAGAGATGAGGAGAAGAATCTGGGAAGAGCAGGGAGGCTTGAAGGAAAGAAGGGTGGAGCAAGAGTGCAGAGGGAGAGAGAGATTTTGACACCCAAGATTGAAGGTAAAGTGTTTTTTGAATTAAATCTTAGCTAATTAGTCACTTTAATGAACTTGAATGCTCATTCTGTAGCAGCGAGGTTTTTAAAGGAATTTCTAGGTCCCCATGAGTAAGTTGTCAAGGGTAATTTTCAAGGGTGCTCTGAACTCTTATTTCTCTGGTCCCTTTCTCAGAAATGGGTGTCCCTGTCTTAGACCAGTGGTTCTGAGTCTTCATTGTGCTTCCACAACATTCAGAGAGTGTTAAAACCCAGATGGCTAGGTCCTGGCTCCAGAAATCCTGATCCAGTAGGTCTGGGATCCACAGGGGAGAGAGTAGTTCCATTTCTAACCAGCTTCCAGGTGGTGTGACCTAGGGACCACACTCTGAGAATCACTGTTCTAGATCCAGAACATCCACAATGCCAGGGTTGGATTGTTTCTAAAATGAACCCAGAGTATCAAATCAGAAAAATCTAGATGCTCCTGCTGGTGAAGCTTTGGAAAATTCAGCTGACAGCATCCCAGACATAATAAAAACACCAGCGTCTACACATTTCTGAATTCTGGTGCAAACAAAAGAAAATATTTCCAAAACGCATTCTCCCCAGCATACCAGCAGCTTCCATTCTACTGGCCTGGCTCACCTTTGGGGCTTGGAGGGCATCATCAGGAGATCTCTTTCAAAGCAGGACCCCATGAGTGGGTTGTAGAAGCATCCCACCCATGGGAACATGTGATTGGGCCTGACAGAGGACAAGCACTGACTGGTCTTTTGTTATGGCCATGAGCAGTTTTAAACTCTTATCAGTGGGACCCGGAGTGTTGCTGTGGGGTGATTCTGAGAAGGAGGTGGGAAAGGATGGCCGGCACCCACAGGATGGTGCCCCTCCTTGGCACACACCTCAGGGCTCAGATTCCAGACCATGATCGTCTGTTAAGTAGAGAATGGCCCACTGGCCCAGCTGCCATTCTCTGAGCTGCACTCAGCAGAACCTTAGGTTCTGGGGGTTGCTTGTAGGTCTGCTGGGAGAACCAGGCCCTGTGGTCCACTGTGTCCTGTAAGAGGAGGATCTCTGGCTGTGGGTGTAGCTCAGTGGTACACCACATGCTTAGTATGTGAGATGCCTTGGATTCAGTCTTCAGCCCCTATCCTCCTGCAAACAAAAACAAAAGCAAAACCCCAAACATCCCTGCTTCGATTCTATACATTGGCTTCCATGGGATTCTTAGAAGGAAGGCACCTGTGACTGAAAACCAAAGTTTGAGGACCCATGACCCTGAGGGTTCCTTCTATTTCTTCTTCTTCTTTTTTTTTTTTTTGGTACTGTTACGGAAATCTCGGAAAGAAATGCACAGAGACACAGAATTCGGATAAAGTAATAAAATTTCTTCTCGAGAGTGGACGGAATGCCAGAAACCAGTCTGGTCAATATCCACGCCCTTTGTTCAGCATTTCCCTTTTTATATCCTTTTTAGCCATTATCTCATCCCTAGTGGTCTTTGATAGTAAATACAATTCCAGTTCCTATTTACAAGTCACAGACACAAGATCGGCCATATACATCGTAAATTTGCATGGTAACTTTGTTAGGTTAATGAAGTTACTGGTTAGAGTCAGATAATTTTCACCTTAAACGAGGAGTTACAGGAAAAGCAAATCTTAAAAGAACACATTACTTATTTTGCTTTTACAACTACCTTAATATTCAATCTATTAAATTATCTAAAACTTTTCCATATCAGTACCAGGGATCAAACTCGGGTCCTTGCGCTTGTGAGGCAGGTGACAGAACCACTGAGCTAAATCCCCAGCCCAGTTCCTTCTATTTCTAAAATTCTGAATGTTTGATCTCTAAGTTGATAGGTCCCCCACCACCTCAGCAGCTATTATGTATAGTAGCTGCCCTCTTCCTATGGTGCCTTGCCCCCTCCCCTGTGTGACATCATGCCAAGATGGTTGCTCCCACCAAAGAACAACACCCTTCTTCCCAGCATGCCCCTGTTCCCGCCTAGAAAGTAACCTAATACTCGCTCACCTCCTACCACCTAGTGACATCACCAGCTCCTCCATTCCCTAGTCACTACCTCACTCAACCCCACCTCAGCCCCTACAAACCCCACCCCAATCTCTATAAAAGACTCTCCCTGCCCCAGCCATATTGCTTTTGTCTCTCCTTTGTTCAGAGACAGCCCGGCAGATCTATTCCCCTAATAAAGGCTTGTTGTGGCCTGGTCTGGTCTTGGTCTTCGGCCCTTTTACCTGACATAAGTAATAACAAAAAAGGGCCCCTAAATCCTATTTCCAGCTCTTCAGCTCCAGTAACTGCAGATAAATTGTGGATGAATTTTGGTGAGACTTGAGATGCTGGAGAATTCTCCACCCTCCCCATCCTCAGCAGGCTTATGAGGGTCAGAGGGCAGATTGAAAACACCTGGAGAAATGGGCTCCAGACCTCTGCCCAGCACCCCTTCCCCTCTCCCTAGGTTGAGCTGTGCCTCTATGAGGGGTGTCCCCAGCTCCCAGGTAGAGTCCCTTCTCAGTGAGCTCCTCCTCTCGTGGAGTGGGCACACATCTCACATGTTTATTCCAGCGCAGGTCCCCAGAGTTCATGAAGCTGGCTTTTGTTGGCTCCACGAAGGTGTCACAGGAGTGAAGCTGGCGTTGAATGGAAAGCTCACTCGAGAGCCCTTGCGGTGGTCAAGCATTCCCACATCCTCATGGCCAGCATCAGTGATCCGAGGTCTTCCTAGGCCAGGGGCCTCTACAAGGATGATGGAAGAATCAAGTGCCTTTCCTGAGAATGCATCCCAAGGCCTGTCTAGAAATATCCCAACAGTGCAGGGTGGCAGGTCCCAGAATACCTTGGCCAGACCTTGTGTCTTGACCATCTTACCTGTTCATCCCAGTGTGGACAGTGCCCTTAAAGGTTTAGCCAAGCCACACAGCCACCTTCATTAATGAGAGTTCATTGCCAGTATTCATCCTGCCTGTTAACACGACATTAATAAGCCAGTGAGATCCCTCTGAGTGAAGCTTTGGATTGACAGATGCGTATGGCACAGATGTCGGGGTGAGGGGTCCCCCAGATCCCACTTGTGCCCATTTGAGGTAATGTGATCTATCCAAATAAGACCAAAGAGATGAAAACCTGAATCATGGGAAAGTTTGGGGAGCAAATTCATCTTTCTACAATGAATCTTATTTCCAACTCCAAAGGAATGGATGCTGTTCATGACAGTGCTCAGTCTAAAAAATGCATTTTGTCTTAAAGTTCTGTCTCAAGGTGAATGCTATCAGATCTTAGGAGAAAACAATTAAAATACAGGATTTCAGTACTAGGGGAAATGGTTTTTTTGAGTAGCCTTAGAAACTCAAGTCACTGATGGCAAGACCTGGAACAAATATAGATGTTACTTAGATGCTAAGGTCACTTGGTTTATAGATATTTCCTAACTCTCAGATGTTTCTAGATCAAAGTTTCAACACAGAGACTGTAGACATTTTAGGCTAGAGCATTCATTGTGGCTTGTGGCATGCACGTGTGTGTGTGTCCTGTGGACTGCAGAACATTTAGCTACCTCCCTGGCTCTACCCACTAGATACTAGGAGAAGCACCCCACTATTCAAGCTGTGACAATGAAAAGTGTCTCTGGACATTGCCGAATGTCCCTGTGGGTGTGCAGTCACCCTTGTTAGAACTGCTGTTCTACAACAGGTCCAGTGGCTGAACTGATTCTTTGCTGGAACACAGAGTTGCAGACCCCCCTCACAGACCTGCGACGGAATGGCAATCTGCATTTCCTGGGAGGTCCGAGTGCTCATACACCTGACTGACTTTGCACTTCTACCTGACGCTCCCATGGTGCCTGTGACCCCAGTGTACGACTGTTTCTCCTTGCAGGAAGCTGATGAAGCCTTGTTGCATAACCTGCGCCAACAGCTCGAGGCCCAGTTTCTGCAGGACGATATCAGTGTGACCAAGGACAGGAACAAAAAGGTAACTGTGCCGCCTCTGCAGCCCTTCCCCAGGTTGGGATCAATCTGTGAGCCCAGGTGCTCATGTCTGGAGATGAGTGGCTACCTTTGGCGTCTTTTCCTCTGAGCAAACGGGGGCTGGGCCGAGGGGACAGGCCGGTCACTGGCAACACTGGATGAGCCAGGCACAGAGAGGAGTAGGCAGTTGGGGTGCGTTGGGGTCGTGATGTTGGGAACTCATATCTGTGCGTCCACTTCCTCCTATCAGCTCCCAGGGACGGAGGTTCTCCAGCACCTCCCCATGGGACTCGGAGCAGCTCCAGATGTTGGGAGGAGCCCTCAGAGGTGTGGAGATGGTGCAGAGGGAGGCATCCTGGGTCTGTGCCCCAGTAGACTCCACCTCTGTACCACAAGGGAAAGCTGGCATTGCATTTGAGGATGAGGAAGCAGCCTAGAGAGGTCGGCCGCACGCCCACGGTTCCATGGCTCCAGGATTCGGTTTTTCCAGCACTGCAAGACCCCCAGAGTCCGGCCTGTGAGGCTGGAGAGCTGGAGAGAACTTGGACAGGACAGGAGAGGAAGCTCCTGAAAAAATGTGTTCTTCCAGAACTAAGAGCTATAACACTACATATATGTGTGTGTATATTTGTATGTTCTGTACTTATGCATTTTCTGGGCTGAAAAAAGTTGACTATTCATATTTTGACTTAGACTGTACCAGTGATGGTGAACCTTTTAGAGCTTTCAAAGACAAAAACAGCCTGCTGTGGCACTTGTGCCATAGGTTTGCCACCACTGGACTATAGCATAGACTGTCTATACCACAGACTAGCTGTAGATGCTGTAGCTTAATTAAGGGATCAAAATCACTTTGTAAAATTACAATGACAATATATGAGGTGTAATGGAAATAATGGTGAATGTTTAAATTTAAAATATTTATTATAGTAAAAGGCACATTGCCATGAATCCGCCTCCAAATGCTCCTCCTCACTGTGAACACACTTATCTCATTGTTCTTGCCACTTTTTGTTTGAGACAGGGTCTCATGATATAGTTCAGGCTGGCCTTGAACTTACTGTGTAACCAGGCTGGCCTGAAACTTGTGGTGATCCTCCTGCTTCAGCCTCCCAAGTACTGAGACTACAGGAGTGCACCACCATGCCTGGCCCTTTCTTGGTCCTTTCTGAAGCCATTCTGAATGTCCTCTTTCATGAGTGTCTTTAGTCTCAGTTGTGGCTGCCTTGATGTCCTCAGTTGATCCAGAAGTTTTACTCTTCTTGGTCATTTTGACTTTGGGGAAGAGCCAGAAGTCAGACAGTGTGAGATCCAGCGAATAAGGTGGATGAGGACACAGTGTTGTGTTTTCATGAGCCTGCCTTTCCTTTTAGCAGCACCTGGTGGCAGCATTCACTGTATGTACTTTTTTTGGTACCAGGGATCGAACTCAGGACCTTGTGCTTTCGAGGTAGGTGCGATGCCACTGAGCTAAATCCCCAGCCCTGTACTTTCAGTCATACCTTGTAAAGACACTTGTGAAAGAAAATTTCCAGAAGTGCTTCAGAAAGTGGCAAGAACAATGGGAAAAGAGTGTTTGAGGTGAGGGAGAAGATTTTGAGGTGGATTCATGGCAATGTGTCTTTTACTGTAATAAATTTTAAGAAGTTTAAGCACCCACCATCTATTTCAGGCATCCCATGCATCAACACCCTGGCTCCCTCTCACCTCTGTGGGGAGAGGCTGCCCGTTTCTCTGACCTGCCTAGCATGGAGCTCCAGGTGCCCACTGGCAGCTGGTTGGTGACATCCTCACTGGCCACCCTCCCTGCTTCTCCCCCCGCCCCCCCCGGCCACGTTTCCTGGCTTCATCCTCAAATCACCTAAGTGCACTCAGGTCCTTCTTGCAGGGTCTGCTCCTAGGGAAACCACAGTGAGTCGTGTGGCAATGCACTGGAAGCTCATGAGGGCTCTGCAGGGCTCTGTTCCCTTCCAGTGCTGTGTGCGCTGAGCGCTTGTGTGCTGCTGTGCACGAAAGCACCCTCCCCTCCTACTTGCAACCCTCCGACTTCTGAGATGGGGACTCAGGTTGGTCCCTAGAAGCAGAGCCAGGGAGAGGATTGGGAGGGAGCCCAGCCCAGGGACCCATCCCTGGAACCCTGCATTAGTCCTGCCAGGGGTGGGTGGGATGAGGTGGCCATGTAGCTTCCTGGACAAGGTGCCCAGGGTTGGCCAAGGAGGGGGCTGTGTTCTCAGTCATCACTCACAGCTGGGGACAGGCAATTGGCTGGAAAAGGGACCCGGAAGACCTGCAGATGGTGACCCTGTTTTATAGCTGAATCTGCCAGGCTCTGCAGAGCAAGGCTACCCGCTCATGAAACACTGTCCTGGGCTGGCATCAGGAGGGGGTCCATTGTCCCTCCAGGTCTTGTGCTCCTGCTTTCTCTGTGAAGACAGCAGCCCAGCACCAAGGTAGCTGAAGGGAAATGGCAAAATGAGCCATGCCTCAGTTTGCCCATCTTCTTCAATGTTTTCATGAAGGTTAAAGGACCTGTAGTGTGCCCACTCCATGGGGGACACATGCTGGGCCCATCAGTTGCAGCCCATCCCCATCTTGATTGGAGTCGGGGGAGATACTGAAGAACCTTTCCTGGGCTCACATGAATGCTCTCCCTGTCCCACAGAATCTTCTGGAAATCCAGACCTACATTGGCATCCTGCAGCAGATCATCCAAACAGCACCTCAGGGGCCCGCTATCATGTGTGAGATGAGGGAGGTGAGCATTAGGGTTGCAGGGGGACCCTTTCCTCACACCCTGGGGCCTCACTGATGTTGGGGTGAACTGGGTCAGATGCCTGGGTCGCTTCAAGTCTGGAGTTTCCTCTTCTTTGCTTGTGCTGTGAAGCAGCTGTTTTGACATTTGAGGCTGTTAACTTCCTTTGAGGTGGTTTCTCTTGGAGACACAGTTGGTTCCCTCTGTGTGCTCCACAGGAAACTCCCAGACCGCCTTCCTGCAGCCTGGTGTCTGCTGCCAAAAACGCTTCCAGGCAAGTGAGAAAGGAAGGTTACTTAGGCTCATGGTTCCCGAGGTTCCAAGGTCAAGGGCCACATCTGGTGGTGGCCCTCATGCTGGCAGAGCCCAGGGTGGCCCTGGGCATGGATGTCTCCTCTGATCTGTCTTCTCACAGAGCCACCAGGAGTCAGTCATGGGGCCCTCCTGGGAAACACCATCTTCCTGTGAAGCTTCCAGCGTCTCTACCGTACATTGGGGACTGAAGCCCAGCATGTGTTCTCACAGGGGACAGGCAGATCCCACCCACACACGCCCCACTGCCCCCCAGCTGTGAACAGGACTTCCTGTTGTTCTGCATCCTTATCCCACTTGCTGTGTCAGCCTTTGCTTTTGTATGTGAGTCTGACTGTGGTCTGATTTTGCATCCCTAGTGATGAACATGCTGGGTGTTGCTTCCTCTTCTCACGGGGCTCCAGTCCTATCATGCCTCTCAATGTCATGACCACAGTTGGCCCTCATCACCCCCAGAGGCCCTCCCTTGTGATACCATCCCCTGGGCTCAGAGATCCACACATGACCTGGGGGACACAGGCATGCGTCTGTCACAGGCCCCTCTTGCTCTGGCGTTTCCTCCATGTGATCTGAGCTTGGCCTTCTTTTGCAGGAGAAACTCCTGACGGAACGAGAGGTGGCCTCACTGCAGAGCCAGCTGGAGGAGGGCCGGGAGGCGCTGTCCCACCTGCAGGCACAGCTCGCGGAGCTGCAGGCCCAGGTATGTGCCCCACACGGGACGTGTACTTTACACATTTTGTTGATGAGTTGCAGGTGCGTGCAGGTACCCAGCTCTGAATTGTCACCCACCAAACACACCTGTGTCCTGCAGAAGCGGCCTTCCGAGCAGGTGACAGGTGCCCTGCTTTCCCTGACTGAGGTTCCCTGGATGCAGGACATTTCATGTCCAACCTGGGGGAGTCCTGGGCAAATGGAGGCGGGTTAGGGGACTCCCTGGTCACAGGAGTTGCCTGGGGTTCCCTCCCCACCAAGGGCGAGGCTGTCCAAGGTAGCCCTATCTTCAAAGGTGAGGTTGTCTCAGTGTCAGCGACCACTCAGGTCCATGTGGACAGGTTCATTGGTTTGTCATGTATTTTGGTGGACAGGAAGAGGCTTTCCTCAGAGCCACCTCAGCAGGAGGGGCCACTTGGCTTCTTGCGCCTCCTGTGTGCAGGTGTGTAAGGGTCTTTACAGCAGGGAGCAGACTGCTGTGGTCCGGGCCACCTCTGCCCTTCCCTGTTCTGTGCACAGGACACTGGGCCCCGCCTCCCAGGTCCACACCTGCCCTTCCTTGGAGGAGGAAAGGAGGGGGTGGCCTTTATGCCCTAGTCTCAGAAGATTGGAAGCAGACATCCTGACTTCTGAAGCTCCATTCTGTGGTGCTGGATGCATGACTTCTCCATGGTGGATTTGTTGTGCCAGGTTAAGAGTGTGTAGAATAGAGGGGCTGGCCTAGGTTTACACCTCACCATTTTGCTTCCTATGTCTCTTCTTGGGGTCAGTTTTCCTTTGGATGTGACATGAGCCTGATACAGTGGTCAGGGCAGTGTTTGCCTCCTGTGAGGCACCATGAGGTTGGGCTCCAGGCCACCCTCTGGGCAAAGCCTCCTTGGAATTGCAGCAGCCCTTGTTGGTAGCTTCCTTCTCGGCCAGGCCATTGTAGCTCAGTGCCCCCTTCCTCCCCCATTCGGTCCCAGCACCACATAGCTGCCCGCCTGTACGGGCAGTGCCGCACCTCCGAGAGGCTGGGCCCCGAATCCTGGCAGACACGGGTGCACACTGGGCTGGGGGTGGAGGCCATGAGACTCGGTCTGCCCCTCTCAGCCTCAGCTGAGGTGGTGTCTTTCACCGCAGCCACACCCTCCAGCGTGCTAGGTGGGTGCTGGGGACCTGAGCTCTGGGTCCTGCTGCCCACCCTGAGCACACTGTGTGTGGCTCCCACCCAGCAGCTGGGGGTCCGAGGTTAGGGACTGTCCCCAAACTAACTGAGGTCACAGCAGGAGAAATGGAGACTCGTCTTCTGAGGAGACAGAGTGTGGCTCAGAACTGTGACTGTGCTTTCCTGTGAGGTCTTGAGGGAGAGAGGGAGAGGGAGGAGAGGAGGAGAGAAAAGGAGAGGACAGGAGAGGTCAGGAGAGGAGGAGGATGTGTATGTGGTGTGTGAATGTATGTAGGATCATGTGTGTGTTACTGTGTGTATGAGGTATGTGTGGTGTGTGTGTGCCGTGTATGTAAGGTGTATATGTAGTATGTGTGTGTGTGTGTGTGCGTGTGCGTGCACGTGCTGTGTGCCGTGTGTGGTTGAGGAAGTAGGCACAGGCCCAGTCATGGTCTGAGACCAGTGTTTCTCACACTGGTCGTTACAACTCATTGTAAAATGAATTCAGCAGAACTGACTGGCACAAAAAAAGATGAAACCACTGAACTGCAACAATGTAAGAACAGCAGAGTGTGTACAGGTGAAAGGCAGGGCTTGTCTTGTGAAGCTTTGGTTTTAAACACTTACGTGTATGTATTTAAGTGCACATTTGTTCAGCACCCCCTATGCATTTCTGTGACGCACATGGCCTGTGCTGTGCAGTGTGTCACTCTTGTGGCTGGGGAGATGGTGTTGGAAACCACTGCCCTAGACACTGAGAAAGATGGAGGGCCCAGCCTGACATGGAAAGTTCTAGTTCCAGGGCAAACAGATTTCTGCTCTCTGTCCGTGTCTGTGTTGGCCGAATCTAGGAAACATCATGAAGGACCAGCCTGGTTTCTAAGGGTACAAGGTGCACTGGTGGGCACCCCAGTCCCCAGCAGAGGACTCGCTGGCAGACCCTGGGCTCATCCTCTGTCCAAGCAGGGTCTCACCCTTCTCTCCTGTGCCATCGTTCGGACACCTTCTCAGGGAAGCGTTGCTAAAGGCATGAAATGAATGACAAGTGAGCAGCTGACACTGAAGGGAAAGATCATCAGTGGAACCTGTGGGAAGTTGGGGCTGTCTGTGCTTATGTGGTCAGGGGGCTTGGTTCCAGGACCTCTGCAGCTCCCAACTCCCATATATGCAATGGCATTGTACCTGCACATAGCCTAGGCACAGCCTCTTGTGTACTTGAAATCACCTCTGGATTACTTAGCATACCCAATACAATGTAAATAGTTGCTCAATAAACAGTTTTACTGCGTTGTTTAGGGAATAAACAATGACAAGAAAAAATACCAGGGTGTGGTGGCACACACCTGTAATCCTAGCACTTGGGAGGCTGAGGCAGGAGGATGTCCTAAAGTTTGAGGCCAGCGTAGGCTGCACAGTGAGTCAAGGGCAGCCTGAAGTACATAGTGAGACCCTGTCTCAAAAAAGCCAAAAAGAAAAAAAGAAGAAAAAAGAAAAGGAAGGAAGGAAGAAAAATGTCTACACATATTCAATACAAATGCAATTAAAAGAAAAATGTTTTTCTACTCAGGTTGGTTGAGTCTTGGGTCAGGATCCTGAGATATGGGGGGGTGATACATTCTCTGTCAGAATCCAACTGATGGGTGCATGAAACCCAGGTTTGCTACCTCAGTGACCACCACAGCTGAGGGCTTGAAGTAGCACCAGTCTCCCGCAGCTCTGTCAGCTGGGCCCTGTGTGGGCTCTGTGGGTGTCTGGGTCTCACGAGCTGGAGCAGAGGTGTGGCCTGCCATGCATGGGTGTGGCTATGGCCATGTCTGGAGGCTCGGGGTGGGGTTGTTGGTAGCACCCAGTTCTGGCCTGCAGCCCCGCAAACCCTCATCTCTCCTGGTGTTAGCTGGAGCGGTCACAGTGGGAGCACCCTCCTGAGCCCCAGCCTCTCCATGTCCATCCCTGCACAGTGCACAGAATCCACAGTGTCTGTCCTCTGACTTCCTCCTGCCCTGCTTTGATTTCCTCTGCTTTTAAGAGCTTGTGTGATGAGGATTAACTTAGCACAATTTCCCTTCTTAAAGGCTAATGGATTACCCACTGTGGTCGCAGCTGCAGAGTCCCCGGGCCGTGTAAAGTACTCTGGGTGTAACATAGGAGGCAGAGGTCCTGGGCTGAGGTTTTCCCTAATTAGCTCTTGGGGAAGCTCTGCTGAGGCTGGGTCCATGAGAGGGATTGAGGGGAGCCCGGGAATGTGCATTTTCTGTTCCCAGGTGATGCTGTAGGGGCAGAATGTTTGCATCTGATGGGTCCCAGGCTTGTGCCCTGCACAGCGGCACTGGTGTCCACGGCTGAGGTTTGGTGGCTTCCCAGGTCTCCCCGGGGATTCAATTGCAGGGGTCTAGCAGAGTCCTGGGCTTTAATTGGAGTCCAGGTGGGGGTGAGGGACCCAGGGCGCGGCACCTGGTTCCGCCTGGTGTCTGTGGCAGTGGCACCCGCGGTGACATCCCTGGCCCAGCAGCACCTGCTGGGGACTTGTCAGAAGTGCACCCCCCCCCCCCCCAAGTGCCACTTCCTGGGCAGCCCAGGGGTGTGGCTGCTCCCCTTTTAACCTCTCTCATCTAAGTTAGCTGAACACAGATGCAGTAAGACCACGTGGATGGCACCTCTGACAGGCAGAGAAGAAAGGTCGGTCAATCTGGGCTCCTTAGATTGTACCGACTGCGTTTCTGTGGGTAGAAAGTGAAAACATATTAATTGCAAAGTGGGAGGGAATCGCCCAGGTCTCAATTCTCATGAAAAGTCCCTTTGCGCCATCTAGTGGTAAGATTTTGCCTAACAGTGAGTAGTCTCTGAAAGTGATGATTTCTTCCCTCCTGTTTCTGAAAAAGACCCCCTCCATGTGCCCTGGACACCCTGAGCCTTGATGCCTCGATGTCCCTGTGACAGAGCCACCTCCCTGCTGTGCTGTGACTCTGGGTCTCATTTTCCAGCAGCCAGCTGATGCTGATGGCGATGTGACTTACACCTCTTCATGTGTGAAAGTGGGGCTCATCCTGTGTTTTTTCTTTGAAAAAAGCTTCCCCCCTTTTTATTAATATGGATTTGTGATACATGAGAAATACACTTGCCATGGGGAATTAGTACATAGACATAACGCATCTGGAGCCTTATCGCTGCCCTTTTCCCTCCTATCTATCCATCTCCTCCATCCCCTGACCCCTTTCCCATCTTCAGGAGCTCTGCCCCACCGAGGTTCTGAACATTTGCATGGATCTGGAGGTGGAAGTCCAGGTCCACAGAGCCAGCTTTCAGGTCCCTGGACACTACCAGGAATCTGGGCTGACCTGTTAAATCATGCTGCCCGTTAAATCATGGGTCCTCATATCACGAGAGATAAAGATTTGTCTCCATGGGGTAGAAAGACACTCAGTGACTTTCCTGATCTCCCGTTTCTCACTTTGTGACAACTCTTTGTTCCACTTACAGTCTAAAGGTTTGCTGGTGAAAAGGAAGAGGGTCTATGTGTGGGTCACACTGAGTCCCCCGTGTCTTCCTCGAGAGCAGCTGGTGTTCATGCCTGTGGACATGTGTCAACGCCAGGCTTTCTAGGGCCCTGGAGTGTGTGTGCAGGTGCCTCTGTGTGTGTGCACGTTTACATGCATTGTGTACATGCATGTGTGTATAAGAAGGTGTGCTGCCCCTGCTCACTGCAGCAGAGGGAAGGCTGGGGTGGGGAGGACCTGCATTTGCAGGGAGCATCTCAGACCCTGTGCAGTTGGGTCGGAGTCCTGCTGTGGCAAGATTGCTGGGCAAGTCCCTCCACTATGTGCCTTAGTTTCCTCATCTCTAATGTGGGAATGAAAACACCCCTCTTCAATGAAGTTGCTGTGAGCTTGGTGAGTTGAGCCATCAGCTAGACCTGGTCAGCACAAACCCCGACTCAGCTCTGGGCTGGGGATCCATACCCTAAGGGGGGCAGAGATTCTTTTTGCGGTTTTTTTCTATTGCTCTTTCATCTGAAACAGTTCGAACCTACAGGAAAGTGAGAGAGTTGTCTCTTGAGCCTATGTCCCTGTTCCCTGAGACATAGGTCTTCTTATGTCATCTACCCCCCTCCCCAGTTCAGTGAATCTGAGGTCACTCTGAGATTTGGGCCCCCGAGGTGAGGGGGGTTTTCAGTCCCCTTCCTTCTTGGAAGTGTGTCCCGGAGCATGTGAATACTGGTATGGGTAAGAATGTGTCCCTGTCCCAGGAGCTGGCAGGTGTGCCATGGTATTCAACATTACAGATGACTGTTGAGTGGAATTTTTTTGTTTTGGAGGAACAGAAACCTGATTAAACCAGCTAAACAGGAAGAGTACTTTTTTATTTTGAAATAATTTTAGACTTCTGGAAAGTTGCAAAAACAACTTTGAGATTTCCCACATTCTTTGCATCAGCCTCTGCTCATGTTAGCATCTTAGAATCACAGGACAGTGACGGAGACCCGGAAATTAGCAGTGACACCATACTAGTGACATATGGTGCCAGCTGCCCCATAATGCTCTCTTCTGGTCCAGGGTCCTCCTCATGTCCAGGCATCTGGCCTCAGTCCTCTCCAGTCTGAGACTGTTCTTGGGCTTTCTATATTTCTGAGCCTGATGCTTTTGAAGAGACCAGAGCAGCTCTGTGTGGACCGCACTCCCTCCATGTGGGGTCCCTGTGTTTCCTCAGGATTAGTCTGAGGTTCTGCACTTTCAGTGCGTGACCTTGGAAGTGTCCTTAGCGTATGACATTGTGTGGCTAGATCTCCATACTGAGGATGGCAACTTTGGTTGCATGTGCCCCAGTGAGTCTAGAACCTGCCCCAGTTCCTGCTCCTTTGAGGTCCCTTTCCAAGTTCCCAGGAGAGAAAGCATATGGTGGGCCATGTGAGTTTGATCCACCCCCATTCCAAGCTGTGGACAGGAGGGTGAGGTCACACTGCTGCCAGGGTCCCCCTGTGACTCCCCTGTGATCCCCCTGTGGCTGGCTGGTTGGGGTGACATGGGCTGGACAGACACCTTCCCAACATGTCTGTACTCCCCTGCCTCCTCTGTTATATTTCTGAGCACCTTTGCAAGCGAAGTTTCCAAACTCATCACCTAGTGGATGTCACTGGCCCAGTGATCAGGTTGTGACAGGAGAGATTGTCCTCCAGGGCCCACATGGAGGCACCTGGTGTAGGGCGCGCTGTGTGGTGCACATGCAGACACCTGTCTAGGTGCTATCGAGGACTGGTGGCCAGCGTCTGCAAGAGCTCCTTAGAGATGCAGACTCTACCGCCTCACCCCAGGCCCCGAGTCAGAATCCAGGTCTTACCACCCGTGGGTGGGTCTTGTGTGTTGCAGCTGCTCCAGGTAGAAGTGGTACTTTTTGCTTGTTTCATTTTGTTTGAAGACATGCCTCTGTAATTCTTTCCTACTTGAGAATGAGATTGTAAAAGTATCACAACCACAGTCAGTAAGCTTGTTAACAGGGCATTTTGGGGTCCTTAGCATGGCTAGAAACTCCTAAAGGGAGTAGAAAACCAGCTCCTATTTTCCTACCTTAGTTTTTACTTGCTCTTTATTAATATGAAAATAGCACTTCCTTAATATTATTGTTATAATTTTATTGGGCCAGGAGGTTGGACGCGGGGCTTCATGAATCCTAGGCGTCTAACACTGTATCATATATAACATGCTCACATACACATTTTAGCTACATAAATGTAATTCTGCTGATCCAAACTCAGGAGAAAATTAAAGCACCCCAGTGGCTAAATAAGAACACGGAAGCATTGTCCTCTTAATTATTTCAGTGAAGTTAGCATTTTACCTCTTTAGCATGTGTTCTTTTCATGTATTGCTTTGGCTGCCAGATCAATGCTGTCATTAAGTGTGGAAAATGGACTTTATTTGGATTAAACATATATTATACAGGTTTTCATGCTCCACTTTGGTGCATATTCCAAAATCAATCGCTGCTAATCTGTCCCTGGAAGAGAAACAAATGAGGGATCAAAGAGAAGTTCACACTCTGAGGCAGAGCCTGCGGCCAGTGTGAGTCCCGAGTGAGGGCAGGGTGGGTTCCTTCCAGCATGTCTGTGCCCACAGACCTTGGCCCTGGAGCAGGCAATGAAAAATGCCCACGAGTGTTACAATGACAAGATCCAGCTGTACAATGAGCAGATTGAGAGCCTGCGGAGGGAGATCGAGGAGGCTGAGCGGACGCTGGAGAGGACTTCATACGACTGCCGGCAGCTGGCAGTGGCCCAGCAGACCCTGAGGAACGAGCTGGACCGATATCAGCGCATCATCGAGATTGAAGCCAACAGGTTCGGTTGCTGTCTGTGCCGCTGTGCGCCCTCCCCACCAGTTCTCATCCCACAGATCCCAACTGTGTGCCGAGCACAGTTCTGGGCAGTAGGGAGGTGGTGGGGAAGGGACACAAAATCCCTGACCTCATGGACCTCTAGGGGATGAAACAGAGACAGTGAATTTGGAGCCAAGGGGTGATGGGCAGATGCTTGAGACCCCAAATAGGGTGATCAGAGTCGGCTTTGTGGGAAGGCTGCCTTGTGCTCGCTGGGCCCCGGGCACACGGTCCAGCAGGCGTGTGTAGTGCTCAGCAGGACTGGTGTCTCCGTCTGGCTGGGCCATCTGGCTGTCACAGCCCCATTTGGTCTCCTCCATCACGGAGCTGTGACTTGGACCCCGCTTCCTTGAGACTGGGAAATTCCCTGCCCCGTGCTGATGTTGACATCCATATCCAGAGAACAGGTGAGGTATTGGGTTGTGCTCCTCCAGTTCACCAGCCCCTGATTTTCAGGGTTTGAATTAAAAGCAGCCCCTTCCCTGTAGAAACCCCAAATGGCCCTCTCTTCCCTTTGGCCCCGTCCTCTGTATGGGAGTGTGCAGTGGGGAGAGCAGGGCTTCCTTTTCCTTTCTGTATTTACAGTCAGTGTGTTTTGCACAGTTCCCTGTTAGACTTATGCCTCTGCAAGAGCTTTATGAACACATTAATGAAATCAAGTCTTGAACTGCATTTAAATGTCCTTGTGAAAAATTTTTTTTGGGAGCAGGGCATGCCTAAAATTAACGAGGTTCTCCTGGGTGGGTGTGTTCCTAACTTCTGATTTCAGTAGTTTCAAATGGAAAGAAATGTTGCAAGAACGGGAGGAGGAAGCCCTGAATACTCTACTGAGATTCCCCACTTGTGTACATTTAATTTCAATTGCTTTAACATTTTCTTCTCTCTCTCTCTCTCTGACTTATATTATTTTTTAAAAACAAGTTGGAGCTACCATATCTTCTTGGACCTAAATACTTCAGCTTGGGTTGGCTGCTCTTTAATTAAAAGCAAAAATGACAAAAAAAAATCAGAAAACCACCGTCTCACAGAGAAGTGACCCTTTAGATTATTAGTCTTATGCAGTGTTCCCATAGCTGTTCTGCAGGACAGGACTTGAGTTCAGAGGAATGACTATTTATGTCCTATTCCAGTGTGTTAATGCATACGTGCTTATCAGCTCACAGCCATCTGCCACTCACGAGCACTCTGATCAGTTTTGATCGGGGTCAGGGAGCGGTGCTCGTGCCCTGACCCTGATGGTGACTTAAAGATGGTGCCACCCTCTGCTTCTTTACACCAGGCTGAGCTCCGCCTTCATCGAGACTCCGGTCATCCTGTTCACCCCGAGCCACAAGACTCCTCTCAGCCTGGGATCAGGTGGGAAAGGTAATACTCCCCAGCCCTGACGCTGCTTGTTTCTTCTTGGAAAACAAAAATGTGAAATGTGGGTCTCATTCCTGCGCCTTCCAACCTATCTGGAAATCAAATGCCTTTTGGGCAGGTCCCTTCCTCCCCTCGCTGGGAGATAAATGACCAAGCTGAAAAGTTTCTAAGGAGGAAGATGGGTGGGGGAACAGCCCACCTTGGGGATGCCATCCTCGGACACGAGCTGTGTAATGGGTAAGAGATAAGATTCCATTTTTGCCTCCTGCTTCTTCACTGTGGCAGGAGGGGGCACTGGATTGTATTCTCCCCCCTTATTAAATGAATTCATTTTTGCAGAAGCTGGGTGCAGTGGTGCCTCTCTATAGCCCAGGTACTTGGGAAGCTGAGGCAGGAGGGTCACTTGAACTTAGGAGTACAGAGATGATCTGAGTAACATAGTGAGATCTTGTTTCCAAACAAACAAACAAACAAACAAACACAAAAAAGTGAGCTGAGACAGCCTGATTGGAAAATGTGGCTCTACCTTTGGCGTCTGGTCTTTTTGGAATGGTTTACCCTGCCGTGAGATGTCTCACATCTCAGCCTCCCAGATCTGGACAAGTGCAGTGTTTTAGGAGAAAAGAGAAGGTGGTAATGTTGATGCTCACAGGGCTTTTTTTTTTTACTATTTATTTTTATTATAAGTTGGTAATTTATGATTGCAGAAATCTATGGGTCACAAAGTGATGTTGTGATCTACAATCAAGGTGGAGCAATTAAATCGAGCTATTTACCATATTCCTCTCTGCAGACACTTAACGTCTTTTTTTTTGGTACTGGGGATCAAACTCAGGTCCTTGCGCTTGCGCAGCAGGCGGCGAAACCACTGAGCTAAATCCCTGGCCCACTTAACGTCTTTTGTGGTGAGACTATTTGAGATTCTGCCGTGGGATCCTGTGACCTTGGTCTTTCCATGCCTAGCTTACTCACTTAGCTGATGTTGTGCGATTCCATCCCCGTGTGTCACGTAACAGTGTTTCCTTCTTGTAGAGGCTGACTGGTTCTCTTCTCTGTGTGTGTACACCACTTCTTTATCTGCTCATCAGCCACTGAGCTCTGGGATTGATCCCATTTTGGCTGTCATGTCTGTCTCTTCAACACACTGATTCCGGGTCTTTGGGGTCAGTACTTACAGTGGGATTGCTGGATCTTATAGGGCCCTTAATCCCTGTTTCCTGGATAACTCAGGGGTGTGTGCCAATGGGCTCTGAGTCAGAATGTGGCTGGAAGGACAGTGCTCTGCTGCCACACACCCAGGGCACTCCATGGGGGAGCAGCCCACAGGGACCAGGCATGGCTTGGTGCTCTGCTGTCGCTATCCCCAAATGAGCTTGGTGCAAGGGACCCTGCATTTTCCTTCTGCAGAGGCCCTGAATTCCAAGCCTGGCCCTGTGAGATCCTCCTCTGAGACCAGCTGTCCTCTGACATGTCCCTTCCTGTAGCCTCTTCCCCTTTCTGGCTTTCTGACTGTTGCTGCCCTTTTGGGCTTCCCCGGCTTGCCCCATGGTGGGTCAGCCCACGCCAAGGGTTTGTACTCTGCTTGTCTTAGTCCTGGGGTGGATGAATTTCCCATTGCTAGGACAAAACACCTGACACCCACAGATTAAAGGAAGAGAGGCTTATTTTGGCTCACAGACTCAGTGGGTTCAGTCTGTGGTGGGCTGACTCCAATGCAGAAATGGTGTAGTAGAAGGGCCTGGCAGAGGAAAAGGTGCTCAACCCATGGCCACCAGGAAGCTGGGACAGGAACACACCCTTCCAGGTCAGCCCCCAGGGACCACCTCCAACCAGGCCCCACCTCCTAACAGCACAGTTAGCCACAAACTTGTCCATGGAGGAATGATGAGTGTAGTGCACCCGTGATCCAATCACCTTCCAAGCACATGAGACTTTTGGGGGACACTTTAGCTCTAAGCTGGTGGGAAGGGATGGAAAGGACTTTTAGGATGAAAAGCTTCTCACTGTGTGAGAGGTGCTAGAAAGCCTCAGAAATGAGGCAGGGTAACATTTTTGCATGTTTTCTTCATTTTCTAGTTTTTCCTTTCAGCTAGGAGTATGAGAGGATCCATAAGTGCATGGGGACAGGGGGTTCCTGTCGCTTCTGAATCAGTGGCATTGCTTCTCCTGTTGGCCCAGGAGGAAGGGATGCTGACAAGCTGGGGCCTTGTCTGTTTGGGTTGTTGGGATAAAGATGCATGAGGGAGCCACACTATGCTGGGTTCCATCCCCAAGCCTGCTGTCATCTGAACGTGTCAGAGGCCTGGGCAGCTCTGCCGTCCCTTCTTTGAGGAGTCAGAGAGACGAAGGACTTTGTGGAGTGGCTTCCTGGGTTCAGGTTGTGGATCCAGATGCCCTCTATGGGCTCAGCAGGGCACAGGAGTGTTGCTCCTACCTAGGTCCTGCAGTAGGACTGTGCATCTCTGATAATTGTTCCAGGGTGTCGGAGTGAGCAGCTCTTTCCTATCCTTTGCAGAAGCTCAGAGGGACGGAGGGACTTGTCAGAATTTTGTGGCTGGTGGCAGCGCTGGGGTCTCAGCTGGGCTGTGGAGCCGAAGTCCCCCTATCCTGGGTTTGCCCTGGGTTCTGATGTCCCACCCTGGGACGAAACATTTGCTTCCAGAGCCATCAGCATAGTTTTGAACAAATACATTTTCATTCCCTTTCATTGACAATGATACTGGAGTTACCGCCTGTGTTTTTGTTTTCTTGTTAGATCTCGCCAGGACCTTGCAAGACATCACAGCAGCTAAACCAAGGCAAAAAGGCCTCCCCAAGAACGTTCCATGGAAGAAGGAGATCATAGCTCAGGATAAAGCAGATAAAATTCTGGAAGACCCCCCGGTAAAAGATCCGGAAGACCCAAAGCCAGGACAGGGGGCAGCTAAAGAGGAGGCTGAATTCAGGTGTGAATTGGGGGGTGGAGAAGCAAGCTCCTCAGTCCAGGGAAGGGGTCTGGAAGATGTGCCAGACGGGGGGCAGATCAGCAAAGCCCTCGGGAAACTGTGCAAGAAGGTCAAGGAAAGAGTGAGAATCCACAGAGAACCAGCACCGGAGCCCCCCGCCGACCTCTACACCAAAGGGCGTCGCGTGCTGGTCACGGGGGAGGCCAGCTATGTGGACCCTGGGTTCTGCTCCTCCTCCATCCCCACTGGAGGTGGGGTAGTGATTTCCATTGAGGAAGGCTCTGTGTATGGTAATGGGCGCGTGGAGCCCTGTCCTGAGCAGCCCATGCCACCTTTGGAGAATGGACCAGGGGGTCCCCAGCGGGGAGAGGGGGAGCACACAGGAAACCAGCAGTCTGCAGACAAGGGGGAAGAGATAAAAGCCCAGGAACCGAAAGACCCTGGGGTGAAGGACCAGGGCCAGAAGGAAGAGGAGAGCCCCAGGAGACCCTGTCCTGTGGCCATACCCGGTCCAGAGGAACCATCTACACCCCAGCCTCCAGGGCCTGGGTCCGCTCAGGATGGAGAGGAGAGTAAGAGCAGTGGCCAGCCAGAAAGGGGCCTTCCCAGGCCTATGGCTTTCAAGAAGGTAGAAATGGTGGAATCCATTGAGCAGATTTCAATGGAGAGCATCGAGACATACGAGGAGACCTCTGGTCGTGGAGACCATGACCGGGAAGACAAAGGTGAATAAGAAACTGGGAGAGAAGGGCACGTAGGATGGCTGGGCTCAGTGGAGGAGGAGTCGGTGGGCCGCTGTAGGGAAATGCTTTGCTGTCTTAAGGCAGATGGTAGCAGTGTAGTTCCTGTGTGGGTTTGACTATAGATGACTCACTGGTGTTATCGGAGAACCTGCACTAAAATGTTTTCTTTGCTTGCACCCTGTGCCTTGTGTCATCCCTTGGGGCTGTGGGAAAGCAGGGGTTGCCACCACGCTCAGGACAAGGGTGCTTGGTCGCGTGGCCACCAGCCTGTCCTCACACACTTCTTCATGTGCACGTACAGACACATTCCGTCTCGAGGCATCTGGGTTTCACATGGAAAGATGCTCATTGATGACCTTGGGCCCCTTTCATTCCATTTCCACAGGAGTCTGTGCAGCTCAGCTTGGGCTCCCCTGGAAGCTGGTTCTGTTGCACAGGGTCAAATGCCAGGAGTTCCTGTGGAACAGCAAGGAGAAGCATGGGACCAAATTGGTTCACTGGGAGGACCGGGGAGCACATGCCTCAGAGTCACTCTGTGCTGGGCGGGGTGACGGCATGGGGTTCAGCTGTGGAGCCACCAGTGCTGTCACGAGTGGGAGGCATCTTAGGGTACCAGCAAGGCCCTCACGTTCTGGAAATGTGTGGAAGGGGCAAGGTCCAGAGGAACGAGGCAGGCAGGGCACAGGGCCCTCTGACCCTGAGTAGGCACCTGGGTGCTGTTGGGTGCGAGCCTCACAGTTTTCTCACTTGGACCCTGCAATCCCAGGCCGGTTTCCAGAAGCAAACTTGAATGTCGCTGCGTAAGTTCCTGGGTTAGAAGTGAGTGGATTGGTCTGATGAGCATTCTTTGAGCACCTGCTGTGTGCTAGACTGTGTTTGGGACGTTTCTCAGATTTAGTAATGATTTCAATCAGCAGAGCAGCCCTGTCACACGGGGGCATCCAAGCTCTTCTGTATGCCTCAAGTACTTACTGTTTTATGTCCTAGGAAACAGAACTGATACAAAACCAAAATCTTTAGAAAGATTTTTTGTGTGTGTGCAGGGGCTGGAGACCAGGGCCTTGCACCTGTTAGGTAGGAACCCTACAGGAGCTCCATGCCCAGCCTGCAAAACTTGTTGCTCGTGAGCATCCATTTTCCTACTGACAGTCAAAAGCCAGTTTTACCTTACACGAATTAAAAAACCATTGCTTCCTGGAGGTGCTGGAGAAGGCACTGGGGATGCCACCTCCATGTGCGAAAGTAGTTTATTGCATTGGGTTAAAAAAAAAAAGCCACTGTGGTTTCTTCGTTATGAATAGCAGAATGCTAAATGAAGTCACCTGTCCTTTCTACTTAAGGCTTTACACAGTCTTGTTCTGAATTCCTTTGAGGTTTTGATTTCAAGAAAGAAATATACTCCTATTGTTCTTTCTAAAAGATGAATGGAGAACTCACTCCATCCCACAGTTTGAAATATAACTTAAAAGCATAAGCAAGAATGGTGGACACCATCTGTGGGAGCCCAGGATGCAAGAGATTTGGGCTGGCGTGTCCATGCTATTAAACATCAACAGGGCTGCACACGTTTTCCCCCATTTGGTCTTTTTAGTTTTTGGACTATGTGTTCAGTTACTGTTCTTATTTAAAGAGGCTGGGTATCTGTTTTGGAATAAAAGGTCCTTTTTCTATTGTACTCAACCAACAAAGACAAATGGACTAGAAGTGTGTTGTAAGCCAGGCACAGTGCTGGGCACTGAAGAGACAGCAGGGACAATCAGATGTGGCCCTGCACACAAAGACCTGACATTCTGGTGGGGGAGGAAGAAAACAGAAGCTAGCAGAAAATGAAGTGAGGAAATTAGCTAAAGATGATACGATGAGGAAAAGCAAAGAGGGTGACAAATAGTGACCAAGTCTGCTTGGGCTGGGGGGCCCAGCGAGGACCCTGTGGAGGATGTGATGAGTGTCTGGATGATGACACGGGGCCTCCTGAGCAGATCTGAGGGCAGAGAAAACCGAAAGTGCAAAGGGCCTAGAGCAGAATGGATGTGGCCTGTTCAAGGGGAGGAGTGAAGGATACTGGAGTGGGACTGTGGGAGGGGGTGAGGTCAAGTGGGAGGTGGGGCATGGAAGCCCCATTGCCTGCTGTGTTCCTGTGCATGCTCCAGGCTTCTGCAGGTGCTGGGCTTCCTATGGCCCCGGAGACTGCCTGCTGCACACCCTGGGTATGTGGGGCGTCTGGGGAGTTCAAGCTTCTCGGGTGCCCTCAGCCAAGCCAGGCCAGGTTCTGGTGGCAAATATGTAGCTCTCATGCCCTTTGTTGGAGGATGCAGGGGCAGCATCAGCACACTTTGTGAGAGTTCACCAGGGGTTTGAACCCCGATGCCCACAAAGAAACCCGGTTATCCCTGTGCCCCATGGGGGCTCCTCTCTTTGCTGTCTCACGTTCTGCTCCACTGCACAAAGCTTCCTTTCAACAAAACCACTTGCCCTTGACTGCTGTCTCACAGTCAGCTTCTGGGGACCCAACCGAACACAGCTGCTTGGCCTCTGTTGCGTTCCCTGCCCAGCTTCCTGGGCTCTTCCTTGGGCAGCTCTGAGTTGGTATTGAGCAGCGTCCCTCCCTGGATACAGCCCTGATCACATTGCCACACAAGACACCTGCCTTCCTCAGGCCTCAGGCTGGGGAGGTGATCAGAGCCACGTTAGTCAGACCCAGTCAGGTGCCCTTACCTTGAAATGTGAGATCCAGGTGCATTGAAACCAAAACCCATCATGCTAGGCTGGCCCTCTGCAGGATGTGTCCCTTGAGGCCACCTGCTTGTTGCTGCCTTGTATCCTATCGCGCTCCAAACCTGCCAGTCTCCTCTGGAGGTTTGGGGCTGGGACTCTGCAGCCTGGGCCTTGTCCCTAACTTGCTGGCTGCTCCCAGGGTGGCTGCAGGAGGGGAGGGGCCTGCTCACTTCCCTTTGCTCTTTGTTCCTGTCCACATCACCCTGGTGATGCTTTTGCTGTAGTCTGAATGTCACCCCAGATTCATATGCTGAGACCCCCACTCCCAGGGCACTAGGATTCGGGGCCCTTGGGAGGTGAGGTGTCATGGGGAGGGGTCCTCCTGGACAGGGTTAATTCTCCTATAATAGAGGCTCCTGAGCCAGGACCTGGGCCCTCACCAGGGACCAAAGCTGTCCTTGTTGTCATCTTGGGCATCCTGTTTCCTGTGGGAAATCAGTTTCTGTTCCTTACAATCACTAACTTTCTGTTCCAGCAGCCTGAACAGAGGGGAGCAGCTCCTCCCCACCCCTTTTTGGGGCAGCAGTGGAGTCCAGTTTCCATTCTTTGCATTTGCAGAATGCAAATGGAGGTGGCCATGGAGGTTCCACACTGGCTTCTTGACACCCTGCTCAGAGGCCCGGTCTCAGCTCCATGGGCCTCCTTTTTGGGCCTCCAATGGCATGACACAGGCTGATCAAAAAATACAGTGAATTGTAATTTAAAAGTTATTACAGTAAATGAAACATTGCCATCAGTCCCCCTCAAAGAAATGTCTCTTGCTTCCAACATTCATCCCAATGTCCTTGCCACTTTCTGAAACAGTTCTGGAAATTCTCATTCCTGAGTATCTTTTTGAGATATGATTAAAAACATGGTGAATGCTGCTGCCAAGGGCCATGCAATGGAAAGGCAGGCTTGTAAAAACATGATGGTGTCCTCATCCACCTTGCTCACCAAATCTGGTACCGTGCGACTTCTGGCTCTTTCCCAAAGTCAAAATGGTCATGCAAGTCAGTGTTTTGAATCAATTCAGGACATGGAGGAAGCCAGAACAGTGCAGCTAAAGACATTCAGGAAAGAGGACTTGCAGAACTTCTCCAGAAAGTGGTAATGGGACAAATGTGTTTGAAGTGAGGATGAGTTCTTTGGGGGGGGGGCGGGTTAATGGCAATGTGACTTTTACTGCAATAATTATCTAAACATGTACTGTATTTTTCCATCATACCTTGTTATTCCACCCTCTCCCCTTTGGGAGCAAATGGCTGCTTCCTGAATTCCTATGGTCCGGAGAGGCCTAGGAGCACCAGGGGTCCCTGCCCAGTCCAGCCCAGACACTGTGCTTTCTCATTCTCTCTGCCTGGGGTCAGGTCAGCCCCAAGACTTCCAACTGTTGCTTTTACCAGGTCAAACCAACCAGGCTCATGTTCTAGATAGAGAGGGGAACTTCACGAGAACCAGCTGCCTTTGCCCCCAGAGCCCTGGGTCCAGCTCAAATGGCCAGTGGGTTGTCAGGATCAGTGTGGACTCCACCAGAGTCTCTTCTGGCTTCACCTGCCCAGGCACAGCCTACCAGCTTTCATGTCCTGATGGGTGTGCTTTTGTGGCACCCTTGTGTTGTGGGTGACATAGGCCCCGTAGCCATGGGATCACCCTAAACTGGAGGCATACTGCCTGCCTCTTCCTTACATGGGGCAGCTTCCTTGTGATTCCCCAGCTTCCACTGCCTTAGACTCTCTGGTCCATGAAATACATGTGTTCCCTTTTGTCTTTGAATCAACTAAGTGCTCTGGTTTGGATTAGAAATTCCCTCCAAAACTCACGCTAAAGGCTGAGGCTTTTGGGGAAGTGATTTGATCTTGAGGGCTCTGCCTCAATCATACCTTTTTTTGTTTTGTTTTGTTTTATTTTTTGTGATAGGGTTTTGCTATGTAGATCAGGCTGGCCTTGAACTCACTGGGTAGTCTAGGCTGGCCTCAAACTCACAGTGATTCTCCTGCCTCAGCTTCCTGAGTGCTGGGATACAGGTGTGTGCCACCAGGCCCAGCTGATGCGGCCATACTTTGATGGCTTTATTGGGAGGTGATGGGAACTGGGATGAGGGAAGGGATCGTGGGGGTGTGACTGTGAAGACTGTACCTGGTCCCCAGCCCTTTCCTCTCTGGCTCTCTCTCTCTGTTTCTTGGAATGCCATGAGGTGAGCAGCTTTCCTCCTCCTTGCCTTTCCTCCATGCTGTTCTGCTTTGCCATAAGCCTAAAAGCAATGGAGCTAGCTGACCATGGACTTAAACCTCTGAAACCATGAGCCAAACCTTTTCTCTTTAAGTTGTTACCACAGATACTTTGTTACCACAACAGAAAGCTGACTAACACACAGGTAACTGATCTTTATACTCAATTTATGGTGCTTTAT